TGCCATTTACTTTTTCTGAGCTTAAGAATGCAGGTCCCACTGACTTTTTCTTTTAAGTAAATTTAAGCTTGTACAAGAGTAAATCACTTACAGATAATTTCTCATATCTGAGATATGTTACTTTACTTGTAAGTGAATGAATAGTAACCATTCAACTATCTCTTTTTTAAACTTTCCCCCAGCTTCTCTAACAGTAAATATGAAGAAATGAAAAAGCAGTGCTTTCGTGCTTAGTGTAGCATTACCATATCTCCTCACCCACTTTTCCCTAAGAGCGGTCTGGCAAACCACTTCAAGGCTTTGTGAGGTCATTGGAAATCGATAGAGCTGAGAAATGCCACGAGGACAAAAAAGTGTCCATGGCTCTCTTCTTCGCCATTGATTTGCGATGCCTAAATGGTGCCCAGCACCCAGGAAGAGTCAGTAAATGCTTCTTGAATGAATGACTGGGTATTGCCCTATGGGGTTCTTGGGTCTGTAATACATCCAAGAAAACTAGTATGTGAGGCCGCCTAGATAGAGCCACCCTGTCCAATAAGGTAATTACTGACCACATGTGGCTATTAGAATTTAAATTAACTGATTAAAGTTTAAAATTCAGTTCTTCGGTCACACTAGGCACCTTTTAAGTGCTCAATAGCCATATGTGGCTGGCGGCTGCCATATTGGACAGCACAGATATTGAACATTTTCCTCATCACAAAAGGATTATTAGACAGCACTGATAGAATATCATTAGTGGAGGCCTAAGTTAGTGGCTCCAGTCTTTTTAAAGTGAAATTCCCATGTGACCATGATGTATACTCATACTACGAAAAGTAGCCCTTTTACATATCTTCCCCAGCATTGTAGGAACTCAGTCAAGAAAGGTGGGTGGCCCACAGAGGTGGCTGTCTCTTTGAAACGGATAGCCAAACAACCATGGGGCTCTAAGTCTCATCGACATTCCGGTAGTATATACTTACTTGGCTATGCCAATTGTTAGAGTAGGGAAATAATAAAGAGCTGCTGTTTCAAGCTCCTCCAGTGCCTCCTCCCTATGCCCCAGCAGCCCTGGCTATTTACATAGGATGCCCCCAACCTCCCCTCAATCAAGCAAAATGAGTTAGTTAATCCCTGTCCCATCGCTGGGGGTAGGAGGCTGCTCAAGCACCCTGCCCCAGCACTACAGGTCTCAGATTGGTGGGTGCTCCCTTGGGCCTCACAGTGGCTTGGCCTTCAGGAGGGACTGCTCCCTAAGAGTTTGTCTTAAGGCTGCCCCATCCCTACTGGGGCCAACTCACAGATCACAGAACCACTGGCCTCAAGAAGACCTTAAAACCCTCTCATCTAACCCCCTTAATTTATTGCAGAAATCAAGTCACAGAGAATCACTTAGTCAGTTTGTGGCTAATTCAGAGATAAAACTCAAATCTCCTAACTTGGTTGTTTTTTGTTTGGGGGATTTTTTTTTTTTGCTGTATCTTCCTGTTCTCAGTTTCCTTAACTATGAAATGAGGATTAATATCTTTATGCCTCACACAGTTGTTAGTAAAAAGAATAATGATACCCAACATTTTATGTTTGTCTTACAGTTTGCAGAAATTCTCCTGTGTGTGTTCTCATTTAATCCTCACAAGAATCTGTGAACGGTATTAGACTTAGAGACAGTGAATGACCTGCCCAAGATAACAAAGCTGCTGTGAGTAGCTGAGGTCTAAGTCTCTTAGGGCTTGGGAAACTATAAACTCTTATAAACCTGAGATAACATAACCACATGGCATTACTAGTTTTTAGCTTGTGGTATTTTGCAGTTAAAGATTTAGTAGTGACATTGAAAGTGGTAACTTTGTTCAAGTGATGCTTTTTTTTTTTTTTTTTTGCTTTGATAATGTGCCAATTGCACAGACTTTGGTTTAGCATTCAAACAGAAGTGGGCCGCTTCAAAGTATATTTTTAAGATGAGAGACTCCAAATTCGTAATTAGCTTTAGAAATGCTAGTTTTACAGTTTGAATATCTAAAAAGCTTCTGGAAATCATTTCTCTATTACTGGTGGTTTATTTTTTTGTATTCCCCATCACCCCAAGCAATTAGGCCCTTTGGAAAAAAACGAAGTATGTTCTTTGAGGGGTCATTTCCTTTATTCCCACTTTATTTTTCACACTCTGTAGCCCTGGTGTACTTAGAAAATAAACCATGCATCTGATCGAGGCAAAGGCAAATCATTTAGAAGCCATTCTACTTGATAGTCTTTTGGTCTTTAGATAATTTTGATCGAAACATTCCTTACTTTTCGATAAGATTGTAGAGAAGATCAATTTAACTCATTCCCAAAAATAAAATTGAAAAATTTTCGCATCTCTCTTTCTCTCTCTCTACCTTAGTCATTTTATAGTATATACTATGTTCTACTATGCAGAAATTGAGTTTATAGATAAAGGAAAGAGGATATTTCATTTCATATACAAAATAAATATCTCTTCAGTTTTCTTATATTAGCTTATAAAGATTGTGGCATTCTCTACACCAGTTATCCTGTAAGGTTAAGTATATATAAAGGTAAAAGAGAAGGTTTATTAGAAGAAGCTGTAAATGTAAAGGAACTTAGGGTTGTGAGCCCTGATTTATTAGTACTAATTTATAGTTACATTTGGAAAGAATGTGTTTGTATGTTTGCTTGTTTTTTTAAATGTTTATTATGTATACGTCTTCATATTTTCTCCCTATATACCGTTTTGTGTTATACACAGCAATTGAGATTCTCAACTCTCTATTGTACTCTGAGATATAGCCTCCATCCTGTCAATGTAGGACCTTCAAAGTATTTACTATTATCTAGATTTTCTTGGATGTTATTTATGCCATTTTCCCTCCTTTGTGTAGATGCTATGGAGGATGCTGACCAAAAAAAAAAAAAAAAAGCATGAAGGTGAAGTTTATGATTTATAGCCAGACTTGGAGTCATCAAGTCATTGAAGTATCTTGGAGTCATTCAAAATACTAGACTTGAATAGATGATTGAAATTCCAAACCTCTAATTCCTCCAAAGGTATTAGGATAGAAGAGGGACTGATGAGCATGCTAATACTTTCAAACTTCACAGCTACCAGTTTTTATACCAGTGCACTTGGCATTAAATAAAGTAATGCATACAGGGCACCAGCACCAGAGCTGACACATTGTAAGCGCTCAGGAGGGCTAGCCGTTGTTATTCGCCTGTCTGATTTGATTTTGTCTTCACATCTCTTCCTGCTCTCTGATGGCCATGCTGAAAAGCAGTGAAATGTCCAAGAAATAGGAAAACACCAAAAGGAAGGGAAACTCCAGACCTCAGTAGTCCAGAAGCAGACCTTATTAGCCCACAGATAATCGGCAGCTGACTGCCACTCTTCTCATGATGGTGTGTGAATAATTTCCATATCCCCTCATACTCTTTTCCAAGTGAAGACCCCATGGATACATGGCAACTCCTCCATTGCCCAGATGTGATTCAGTATGGTCTTATGAGGTTCAATTTGATAGAAAACTTACATTAATCTTGTCTCTCACTTGTTATGTGAAAAACAGTGAGCTGTTCACTATCTTCTGTTTAAGAAAAATAATAATATCTAAGTATTGGTTGTCACTGATTAGAACTTTGTTAAGATAAGTGAGGTGCAAGTGTATTTTTTTGTGTACCTTTGATAAAGTGGGCAATTAAACTTAGGCTGTGGCAAGAGTTTAAATTGGTACAACTTTTCTGGAAAGTCATCAAAATTCATACCATTTTACCCAATAATTCCTTTTCTAGGAATCTACCTGAGCAAATATTCAGAATTCAGACAATCTGATATCCATACATATCTCCCAAAGTGTTATTTGCAATAACAAGCAAACCAAAAAAGAAAACAATATATAATTCCAAAAATGAGAGAAATAGCTAAATAAATAAAACTCTTTTCTGTGGGATGTAATATTACATAGACATAGAAAAGCACATCAAAAAAATTAATAACAGGAAAATGCTCACTTTTTTTTACATTGAATGAAAAAGTGAAAACAAAACTTGAAGTATTTTTGTGTATATGAAAAGAGAATCCTGGTCTATAATCCTTCATCCCCAATTCTGAATCCAAAAGTTTTCAAAAATCAAAAGGATTTTTTGCTAACTTCTTTGGTGGGAAAACCTGATCTGAATTAATGCGAGGCTCTGTTTTGTGTGACTTAATAGGAATGTACATCTGTTTTGCCAAAAAAATATTTAATGTGTTTATGGAGTACTGCTCCAGACTCTGATGGAGTATTACGTGATAAGTGGTAGTTGCATCGTCACACTCTCTAAAATCCAAAAAGTTCAAAATTCTGAAACATATTTAGCCCAATAGTTTTAGTTAAGAGGTTATGGACCTATACAACAAAATATCATCAGTGTTTTATCAGAGTCAAGGTTAGTTACAGTTGATCTTTATGCTTTTCCATATTTTCCAAAATGTTCTATAATAGGCATGCATTAATTTAGCATCAGAAAAAAAAGAATGTATTATTAGTTTAAAAACAAACATTTGAGATATCATAGAATTATCTCATTTCAGTCAAAATTCTCGACTTTTTTTCTTGACTTGCTTCCTGTGTCGTCTTGTTACTAAAGCCACATGTGTCTTTTAAACCAAAGTGTTCTGATTTGTTGAAAGAAAACATTCATGAGAAGAAATAGAGAAGGAGAAACTGATTGGCCTGTCTCCTAACTGCTTTTGGGTTCGGGAGAGCACCCAGTGAGCGATGGATGCTCACGTAAAGGAAATACTCAATAAATAATGGCTTCCACCAGGGTGGAGCCCAGGCATTAATACCATGGACTGTTTTATCATGTTGTGTTTATGTGGACAGATCAAGAGGTACACAGCCAGAGGCACAGTAAGATCGTTCTGAGGTCGTAACAGCAGGGGGAAGGGTGAAGCAGGAGAGTAGGAGGGAGGGGGAACATTTAACAGGTGTGGTTTACTCTGCTACTGCTAATGACAACTCTTCCTCCCCAATCAGGTGGACACTCACTAACCCGTCACAAGGTTGCCCCACAAAGCTTTGGGGTCCATGTCTGAATGGATTGCTGTAGCCTTCTCATCTCTCCCTTCGCCCGGTTCCCTGCATCCTAAGACTCCAAGCCAGCACAGGACCTGGAAAAATTACATGTAAGTTTTGATTAAGGATTCTTTTCTCAAACCAACAATGGTAAGAATTTTCTTAGGTGATAATAACATATAGCCTAAGCACACACAAATAACTTTTCTTTTAACAAAATATCTTGAAAATTATAACTGAAGAAGGGAGCTGGGTTAGATTCTGCATGTTGATGGTGCCTTAACTCAGTGATTCTTAAACTTGAAGCTTGCATCAGAATCATCTGGAGGGCTTATTAAATTACAGTTTGCTGGGCCTCCTGTCCAGAATTCCTAAGTCAGTAGATCTGGGGTGAGCTGGGAACTTGCTTTTCTAGCAAATGTCCAGGTGATGCTGATAGAGCTGGTCCAGGGACCCCACTTTGAGAATCACTGGTTTAGCTCAAGTGTGACTGAAAAGAGGAGTGTTAAAAGTAGAAAAGTGTATTAAATATTACTTAAACATCACTGAATTAAGATATTTAGTGCTTCACTTGGTACATTGACTCATCTCTCAGAAAAGAGAATTTTAAGGTCCTCTCATCACCATTACATTTGAAAGTCCATCCAAATAGATGTCATTATCTGTCAGCTTTACTCCAGATCTGCTGGTACCAGTCATTGATTGCCCTTTGTTTTCAGCAGGTATGACTAACAGTGCTGTTATTAGGCTAAAATGACAGCTCTAGTCCTTTTGCAAGTGTGCTCATCGTACTTTTAGACACACTCAAAAAGGAAAATCTTTGTTTTTCCCAGGTTGGAAACACACTGCTCCCTTTCAGAGTGAATCATCATACTGTCCTTCCCCTCATACACTTAAAATGTGACTTGATTTTACAAAACACATGTGGGAAAGGAGGCATTTTTAACAAACAGACCAAGTCAGCAAGTCCAGGTTTTTGTGGGGTTTTAAATTCTCAGGACTGACGTATTTTGAGGATCAACATGCTATTGTTTTAGCTTTGGATCAAGCCAGTCACCTCTCTACTAAGGATAAGAGTCATTTATTCCATGTTGATTAATAGAAATAAGTAGAAGAGTTTGGCTCAACAAATACGCACTTGGATATACGTGAGCATTCATGTAAATGTACATATAAGTCTGTGAATATATATGCATTTTGTGTATTTCTAAGCTTTCACTGTAGGAATTTTTTTTGTTTCATTGAGTCAGTGTGAGTGTAAAAATAGTATGAGTGATGCTGTCCAGAAAATGTTTGAGAAACTCCTGAGCATTTTAAATCTGTGGATAAGCCCAATGATTTATAACATTTTACTTGGATGTGGTCAATGTTATCATTCAAAGTAGCACTTACAACTTAGAGTGCTTTTATTACAACTCCATAGAATTGAGAATAATCACTGTTAAAGCAATTCCCAAGCAGATGTGTAATGAAGGAGGATATCTATTTCCTAAATATTAGCAGAGCCCAAAATCCGGGCAATAGATTAATTGCATGTGTTTAAAATAAAAATCACAAAGTCAGAAAAATAAGACCAAAAAAGTGATAGGTGCTGAACTGAAAAAGTTCTAAAGGAATTATTCCAGAGCTAACTTCTGGGAGCTGCGCAGAGGCTAATGGCATTGGTATCAGGACTGACAGAGTTGTGAGTGATGTAATTATCTATTATTACTCTACCCTCACAAACTGAAACATCTCTGTCAAGCACTAATTAGTTATTCTGCACAGCATTCTTGGATGGAAGGTTTCCAGTTTATGAAGCATCTTCACCATGAAGTGAAAGAAGTGGGTCAGATCAGATGCTCCTTAATCTCACTCTTGCTTTGGCTTCTGTGAGTATCCACGTCTACATATCAGGTGTTTCTGTAGGATGACCTTTTATGTCAGTCAGTTTCATAACCACAGTCCTGAGGGGTAAGAAGCCTTCTGAGATACCTTAGGTAATTAGAGCTTCAAGCTCCTGCCCAACCTGGGTCAGCCTGCCTGGATCACTTCCCGCGCCCTCAGGCAAAGCGCTCAGATCACCTAGTACTTACAGCAACTTTATAAAATACCATGCATGTGTGTGGACCAGGGTATGTGGGAACCATCTGTTTTCTCTTTAATTTAGCCGTGAACCTAAAACTGCACTAAAATAAAGTTTATTATTAAAAAACCCTGAATATCAAAAAGTATGACGGTTCCTCAAAAAATTAAACATAGAATTACCACATGATCCAGCAATTCCACTTCTGGGTCTATATCTAAAAGAAATGAAAGCGGGGACCTGAATAGATATTTGTACACCTCATGTTTATAGCAGCATTATTCACAATGTCAAAAGGTGGGAAAACCCACATACCTATCAACCAATGAATGGATACAGAAATTTTAGTCTGTACATACAATGGAATATTATTCCACATTAAAAAATGAAATTCTGATATACTGCAACATGAATGAACCTTGAAAATACGAAGTGAAATAAGGCAGACACAAAAAGACAAATACTGTATGAACCCACTTATTTGAGATATAGAACAATCAAATTCATAGTCAGAAAGTAGAATAATAGTTGCCAGGGGCTAGGAAGAGAGAAGAATGGGAAGTTAGTGTTTAATGGGTACAGAGTTCACTTTGGGAAGATGAAGAAGTTCTGGAGATGGATGGTGGTGATGGTTGCATAGCAATGGAATGTACTGAATGCCATTGAACTGTACTCTTAAAAATTACTAAAATGATAAAATGATATTTACCACAGTGAAAAATACTGAATACCAGAGCTCACTTTCATTCCAGGAATACTATGCAGAGTAACCAACTAGTGCTTGGTGGGGATGTTATTGTTTGTGAGGGCGGAGTAAGAATAGATGGCCGTGTCCCTCCCTCACACCTCCCGATACTTTTCCTGGTGTGCTTTTGGGCAAGGGTGAGGGATTTGCAGAATGCTCTAATTCAGTTTTAGGAATGGATTTCCTATCAGTGCAAGGACGCATTTGTCAGAAACTACCAGGGAAATATGCCATAAACAACTGTAATCTCTGTCAAAATGCCCTTTACATATAAAAGAAAGCTGCTTCACTGTGATGGAGGGAATATGTACCCACTTGTGCTCCTATAGGGAAGTTACTCCACTTTATCAGACATGTTTGCTCATAAATGAGTCCATGTACAGGGTGCCAGCGTGCACGGGATTACAGAGCTGTGCGCATAGCTGTGGCGTGTAACAGATCTTGACCAGTGATGGTAGATATTGAGGCAGGAACCAGGTTGAAGCCTGGTAGAAAATGAAAACTTTGAAAGAAAATTAATAGCATATAGTTCTCCTGAAACAGGGCCTCAAATTATTATAATGCCTGTTTTACATACTTTAAATGAAGTATAATTTATTCCCCCATCACTAAATCTTTATAGTATTGGGTATTACTATACCATAAATCACAGAACAATTTAGTGAGTGACCTGCAGCCCTGTGAGAAATATGCAGTATTGGACCCAGTAAGGTAGTCCATGCAGGCCCTACTTTGGGGGAATTTTGCTTTTTAGTCTATGTTTGTAGAAAGCTGATCTTGGAGAACAATCGGTGAATTCTCATGGAACCTAATAGCCATGTTTTCTTCAGCTTTTCTTTACTAGTTTCAGGCCCGGCCTCTGACCAAGATTGTAATTCCTGAAAAGCAGTGCATAAAGGTCCATAGCTTCAAAAAGCTCAGAAACCTCTGTCCTAAATTACCCCACTTTATCCTTACAACATCAAGATTATTTATGTATGTGTATGCATATTATGTACATATACATACATATGTATGTACTTGGCTTAAAGAAATGGTATAACCAAGAGAAGAGGTAGTATAAAGCCATCAAAATTACAATACATATTGTAATAAAAATCAGTCCCCTCATTCCCACCTCAAACTTTCCAAACCTGCTTAGAAATAAACTCTCCACGCCCTTCACTTAGGTGATGGAGAACAGGGCAAAGCAACAAAAGTTTAAGAGTCATTTGCCATTGGGAGCTGCTATGATATTTAAAAAAGTGAAACTGAAGGTTTTTACAGAAAAGAAAATCTAGGTCAGCCAGTTTAAGAGAAAAGTAAGTGCTTATTCCTCCTTGACATCCACATGTAGCTACCGGCACCCTACGCTTGAGTTGAAACAACATGGATACAGAATCTAATGAAAATTAATTCAGTGCCGTGAGTTCAGAGACCATAATTTTTGGATGGGCACACTGACACATGTTTCTCCTAGAGAAGACCAGCAAACCAACAGTCACCCAGACAGAATCACATAAGGTAGAGAATGCTAACAAAGACAGACCCTTGGGGATTCTCCTTAAGGCTCTCATGTTTCCTAGGAATCAGATGTCCCTGGTTCCGGGCACCAAATTCATGTTTAATGGTAGCCTAGGTACCTGGAACCCAACTAACCAGAACCCTGAATTAACTACCCTTCTACTTTCCCACCCCCACTCAAAACCTACCCCCTCCCACACACCCAACCCTACCACACATATTCCACTTCTCCTTTTCAGAGATAAAGGTTCAGAAGATGACTGTACCCTGGAGGATATTTGTAACTGATGACACTGACCTGCTGAATCACTTGGGAATGGTTACATGTTTTATAATTAGGAAAGGAAACTGCTTTGAAAAGATTTTCACCAAAAAGCATTTTCCAGCTGTCAATTAACCAGAAAATTGAAACAAACAAAAAAACTTTGTCCTCAAATGGGTCTGGTTCACTGAGGTCTTATTGTACTATTTTCATGCCTTAATAATAATCTTCAAATGTTGACTTAGGATAGAAAAATATACCATTTCTTTTTTTTGAGCATTTTATTTTGTTTTATTTTTAGTTTCATTCATTTTTATTCTTCTTCACATTTTAGTTTTTACCACCTTTCCAGTGCCAGAGTTTAAATTTCAGATATTTGTTTATATTTATTCTGTTTATTATATTTGGAAGCACTCTTAAAGTTGTGATATTAGTGATATTAAGAGTGATATATAAAACAATTTTACGAACATATATATTCAGCTTCTATAGTCATGGGGAACCATTTGGCATAGTTCTGAAGCCAATTCTATTT